CTGACATTTTTACGCGCGCTCTTGCTGCACTTGGAATTTTACCCGCGACACCCCTCGATCTGCATCTCCCCCGGTGGTTTATATTTCTCTTTCGGTATCATTACTTAACAGGAGACTTTAAGTTTTGTAAATAATCACCCTTCACGAGAGTTAGGGCCTCCACGTTCAACAGGGTAAATGTCAAACGATTCGGGGTAGTCGGTTCGCGAGAAATGTTCATAAGTGGCCGACCTCCCAGATGCCACCGTAAATGTTTTAAATTTATTTATTTTAAATTATATCGTATTTTTCAATTCAAAGGAAGAAATGCCACGAAGTCTACTTGTTAAAATATATATATATTTTTTTTTACTCAAGGAAAGAAATGGTACGAAGTCGCCGCACCACCCAATGTAACCCCGTTGTCATGTCGGTATGTCCGACTCTTCCCCCTCGTGTCTCGGTATGTAGAGTCCATCGGGAGCCGCTTCGCGGGAGATTTATGCACGGGGAATAAACGAGGGAAACTCGGGAGACCTAGAAAATCCGGAAAAGCAGGAAAACCTGGAAAACTCGGGGGGTGGCGGTGCGGATTACCGGCTGCTCGCTAAAGTCCGCGGCCGAGCTTTCGCGTACGCGTATAACGAGACTGCCAGGATTTCGGCTCGTTTCCCGCGGGATAGGGAGAGTCCGGCGAGCTTACCGTGTAAGCTCGCCTGTAATTTCCCACCGTGGGAAGCGTGAGAACAAACGTTTACCGCCAAAGTCACGCGGGGGATGAATTACGGCGGGAATGGCCGCGAGATTTGACGCCAAGAAGGACTCGAAGGACTCGAAGGACCTCAAAGTTAGGAGGACTTTTCTTTAGAGCATCGAGATCTGTCGTTTCGTTCACCAGTAATTTTCAATTTGTTCCAGGGACAAACGTCTACAGTCGAAATCACACGGTGAGAGAATTACAGAGTGGCCGGAAGACTTGACGGCGAAAAGGATCGATAATGGAGGAAGGACCTCAAAGTCACGAAATTTTTCCAGAGTATTGGGCACGAGACGTTGTCATCTCGTGTCACCTGTCCAGGGGTCTGGGGAAATGAGCTCGAAAGAGGAGGATCCTCGCAGTACTCGCTGAACTTTGAAGGAGAAAATGGAAGAGCGATTCCTCGCGGCGGCGGATGGCAGAAGCCGATTGCGAGGCGGCGAGGGCAAAGCGAGAAATAAAATCTGTCCACTCGTAACGAGTAAATAATGAACGAGCCGGAGGAGTTACCGGAAGTCGGGCAAGAGGACGAGGGAATAAATGGCCGTGTCGAGGCAAAACGAGCAAACGGGAAAGGATGCGCTCCAAGGGGGGAGGATTTCATCGTTTATTTACGCGCACGTCGGTAACACGTCCTGGAAGAATAACGCGTGGCACCGATGGTGGTTAGCGAAATGAGCCAAGGAAAAAATGGACGGTAAAAAATGAACCGGCGAGAGGAGCCCTTAACGATCTCGCGAGGGAGGGCAAAGATGGCGACTTTCGCCGGTGGGAAATGGTCGGAAGAGGGGTTAAGACGTAATTCCTGTTTCCACCCACCTCGGGGATGAAATTCGGGTATCTTTCCCCGAGGAAAATATTCCCGGCCGCGGCGCTTTCTCTTCTTGGGGAAAGAAAGGCTTTCTCTCGAGCACGTGCGCGCGCGGTTACGAGCGTGCCAGGAGGATCCGTCCGCGAAATCGCGGGGGGATAAAGTCGGCTGATAGGTCGCTTTATTTCACTCCTGTTTCAATTTGGCGGCCGTAAAAGAGTTTCAGGCTTTTATCTCGAAAAAGTTCTGCTCGAGGCGGCGCTTTCGTGGCCCTACAGAGCCAAAAATCGCCAGTACCAGGTGCGGCGTCGGGACGGCTTCGAACCTTTTCGAACTCGCTCGATTCCCCTCGTAAGGCTCGGGAAAAGATTTACAAAGTGAAGTACTGATATCGATTAACCACCTCGACGAGGAGTTTGCGAGCCCCGAGTTCGCCCTTCCGCGAGGAACCTGGTCTTGAGATTGAAAAAAAAATAGAAATAAAATGATAGGGGAATTTCCAAGGTCTAAGGTACCTTTAACCTAGTCTTACAGATTTATTGAAACCAAAATAGGCGACGCTGTTATCCTAGAGATCTCCTATGCGGAGACACATCTAGGGTGGCAGAAACACGAGTAGAAATTCCATTGGGTAAAAATACGTCATTGATTGTTAGACTCGTCGAATTAAGGCGGCTACACGCGTAACAATAAATCCTACTTTGATTTTGTAATCCGTGGTATTCGATCCAGTTCCTCTATATGGCCCAGACATCTATACATCGGTCAAGGGGACCCTCCGATAAGGCGACAACGAGTCTAACTAATAAAATGCCTAATAAATTTCAAAATGAGTCCAAATAGAATTTCTTACAGTGGCGCAAAAAAAAATCTGTCGAGAAGAAACGCATTAAAAATATTCGTTCACTGTAGAGTTAATCACGTGTGCGCAGAGCAACGTTGATACGATTTATCTGCGATTCTCTCGCGGTGCAATAAATTCTTCCTTGGATGGAATAACAGCAAATGTTTGATAATTCTTTTTTTTTGTATTTTTTAACGGGAGAGTCCCCTTAAATCCTGTGTAAATTTTGATTTATCGTTACGCAAGTAGCTGCCTTTAATCGAATTAATCGCTAGAGAAAGTACATTCGTGGATCGAGTCGGTCGAAGCAGGACCTCGACTCGTCGACTCCGAATCGTCGACCTGAGATTCTTCTTTCATGGCTGGCACTTTCCGATGCCTCGACCTCTCTTGACACGAATCCTCGGTTGCGTGGACCAAAGCGATTTCCTCTTAACCTCGAGAAAAGACACGGAACACACGCCAGGATCCGCGGATGTGACGCTATCCTGGCGGATCTGGAGAGGTCGAGAGATTACTTGGAGAGATGCTGGACGGTCCTTCAAAGGATCCTCCTCGAGGTCCAGGAGGCGGAATATGTCGGAAGGACCTTCGTTGTTCTCCTGGAGAGGATTTCTCGGACCCGGTGTCCTGCTTTTCCGTTGATTGATAGCAAACCGCGATTGGAACCTTTGAAGAGGACGCGTCTCTTTTCCGGAAAAATCCCCACAGAGCGCCGCAATCGCAATCCACGTGAAACCGGAAAGCATCAATATTACATGCTCGTCTATTTTTCTCTGCCGGTCGATCGACTTTTAACTGAAAATACTAATATTTATCGAGAGGGCCCAGAAATCCCGTAAATTCAGGTCCGAGGTGGACGAGGAAGATCTTTTTTAACCCTCTACAACGTCAAGTGACTTTGAAGTCATATACCTCTAAATATACATTTTTTAAGTCCTACTAGATTTTCCCGGGTAAACTTAATTTATCACCTCCTCGTTCTAATGAAATGTTCATTTATAAATTATAATGAAAATGTTGCTTTATGTCGGGGGATTAATGTTTGATAATTTGAGGCTGTGTCGTGATTTCTCGGGTATGAGCAGAATCGGGTCATAGAGGGCTAAATCGATCAGTCAATTTTTTATTAACAATTCAGTGATTTTCTAACTGCTTCGCTCTATCTCGTCAGGGGAACCTCGAAGAGCTCAATCTTGAAAATCTTGTTAATCTCGAAAACTCGGAGAAGTGCCGGCCAGAAAAGTCTCGAGTGATCTCGTCCATAGACATCGCTTATCACCTCACGTGATTACGTACTTATCATATAGGCGTTTACCGTCAATCGTAGTCAAATCTCCGTAGAATATATTTACATGGACCCCTCGCTGTCGAGACGAGGCGGTACCAGCGAGTGCGCGAAATCTCGAATTAGTCTCACGGTTGCCAATAGAAGGGTTAAAAGGGGGATAAAAATAGAGACGAGAAGACGGTGCTCCATCTCTCTCGATTTTCCCTTTCGCACATTTTCCGGCGTTTTCGAAAGCAAAACGCGAGGCCGGTCGTCCTAAGCCGAGATTAATGTCGATTTGCCCACGTCTCTTCCTTACCCTGTTAAAAATATTCATAAACTCCCCGCATGTATACCATAGAAATTAAATACTAAGATAAAAAAAATATGTGATGTCCTAAAAGTACACATTTACCACGAATTTACAACCAAATTTATAATTAGACATCAAAGATATATGATTACAGTATTTCTTTTATATTTAATGCCTCTCTTTTGCAGCCGCGGTCCCACGTCCGTCAGGGTACGGTACGGATACGGCACCGACACGGAACTGATACGGCACGGACACGGTACTGACGAGGCACTGACGTGGGGAAATCGAGCTTTATCCGGGCAGACGAAATGATTTCGCGTAGTTAGAACGTGCGTACAGGATGTCGGGAAACAACCCTCGAGTCGCGCGTCGTGTCGCGTCGCGCACCCCGAGGGTCGATTCGCGTAATTTTATCCGCGGATTACGGACTCTTCGGAGGGCTTCCCTTTCGTCGGGGAGGATCGCGGGAAGACGCTTGATCGCGCAAAGTCGATTAAATTCGATCGCCGCCGTCCTGTCGGCTTTGGCGAGTCCACCCGTTGGGGTGGAGTTCTTCCTCCGGAGGTGGCTCGAGTCCTTGTTCCGAATCGTTGATAGGATCCTTGCTCGGCGATCGACTGAATGGATTCGAAATCCCCATCGATCTCTCGGGATCGTTCGTCGTCCTGGATCGATCATGAATCGCGATCGAGAGCGATCGATTGAGGCAAGGTCTAGGACAGGATTACCTCGGAATCATTCGGAGCGATCCTCACCTTAGATCGATCAGGAGTCGCGATCGATCGAGGCAATCATAGGGTCCAGGATAGGATCACCTCGGGATCACTCAGAGCGATCGGAAGGATCGATCGATGCCATCGCAGGGTCCAGGGAAGGATCATCTGGGGATCCCTCGGGAGTTCGCGATCAGCGGATAATTATCGGGGTCGGGGTCGTCATCGGGAGATCCCTCGTTCCCCGGCGATCTCCGGGCACATCCGGTCCCCGTCTCCAAGACGGCGACTCGCTCGAACTCCTTTTAGCTCACGTCGGGTAGAGACTCGTAAAACTCGGTATCCTCCAGCTGACGGCGGCCAGGAAGGAGACGAGAAAGTTACTCGCCAAAATTGCGGGACTCAAGTTCCGCCTGTCCCCGCCGTGCATGGCCGCCGGCTTCTCCTCCTCTGTAACGAGATTAGAAACTCCGTTTGATACTTTGGAAAAGGGGGAAATGGATAAGCGACCTTCGCCCCGATTCGGAGGCGTCCTCGTTAGAGGACGAGGCAACGTTCGCAGGACACGTGGGGCTTTACGAGGGCGGATACTCTGCGTCGTCTTGTCGATTTTGTCGTCCTTTTTGGACGTTCCAAGGTCCTGGGCCTCGCTAAACGGACTCGCCCTCGTAAAAAACCTCCCTAGCAGAAACGGGACGTGAAATGCCCGGCAACTGTTGGACCCTCTTCGCTAAACGTACGTCTACTCTCGCGGTGGTCGCGAAACGCTTTCGACACGCTTTTAAATCCTTAATCCGAGATGAAACGTGCTCCTCCGGGAGGCTGTGGGCTCAAGACGCTCATTTTTCCAGTTCGAAGCCACGGCTGCTCGTTTTAACGCGGCTCGAGTATCAGCCAAGATAATGCTGGAACTTCGAAATGAAATTCCCTAACTCGTTCCTAACCCAATTTGAGAAACGCTCCCCGAGCAAGTCCAACGACGGACATTCTTTCTGCCAGAGGCCACCGCCTCGCGGAAAGCGATTTAAGTTTCGCAAAATGGCCGAGAGGGAACGTCATTAGGGGAGATCGAGGCTGGATGGGGTACCGAGTACCTCTGAATACCCGCGGAAGACATTTTTCATCCCCTCTTGATACCATTCGCGTAACGCCCCCCCCCCGATTTCGCGAAGAAGTCGATAATTCGCACCTCGTTTGCCAAATTTTTCCCCGATCCTGGAATTTCAGGGTGCCTTGGAAAATCAGGAAATACGCACCCTCTGAGGTGTCCTTTTTTACCAACCCTCCATACCCTGGTCACGTCCATCAATTGCATATAAACGTCCCGATCTTGCGTACCGAGTGGTAACTACTGTAATCTATCCCCTTCCTAGGATGTTGCGTCGTGTTATTTTTTGCGAATTTTCCAATTTTTTTAATTCTTCAATTTTTCTAGGTAGTACTCTCACCTTCGATCACGTGCACCATGATCGAAGCAGGGGTGGCGTTGTCGGGGTTGCAGGTGTACTTCCCCTCGTGGTTGGGCTTCGTGTTCTCGACGATCAGGATCGACCCGTTCGTCGTCAACTCCACCTTGACCCCCGGCTCCTCGTAGTTTATCATGCGCTCCTCGTGATACCAGAAGACGTAAATCGGGGACTCGGTTGCCGACATCAGGTGACACTCCAGCCTTAGGCTGGACCCCTGCTTCACGTGCAGGTCCGGGGCGCCTGGGATAAGCGAATACGCCTTTATCACTCGCAGCCGCACGAAGATCTGCTGCACGGGATGAGTGGCCACCTGGAAATTCCACGAAACATATTGACACCCGATAAGCCCTGATAACATGAAGAATTATCAGGCCATGCCATTAAGGTGACACGAAAGGATCATTCTATATACATAACGTGAAAATATTTATAATACTTGGAAGGGAAGGGGAGATCCTAATATACCGATGAAATTTCATTTCTTCAAACTTGTTGATATAAACCCTTTTCATTGTTCATGGTCTCATGGTTTTTTATTTGAATGTGGGAGATTTGAGGAAGGTCATCCGTGAAATTTTCCATTTTTTTGGAGAGAAAATTAAAAAGATATGTTCATAAAGGAAATCACTAATCACGTGTAACTTGTAGGGGGTTTTGCTGGGGTCGGTCTTACTTATGTAATGGGGTTGATTGTTCACCCCCTGTTCTGAAATTATGCCGCGACCACGGGATGGCCTTTGCGATACGGATAGCGAAGCGATCAGAGACCAGGTCTAAGGTCAGTTCGTGGATGTCTATTGTCTGGATACTCTGCACGAAATTGACATTTTGGCAGGTTCGACCTTTGCTGCACGCGTGACGTCCGATATGTCATCCCTAATGGACCGAGACCACGGTTCCTTATCGTATGGTATCACTTTTGGTCTATCGATACCAATTACAGAGAACGCGTCGATAGACAGAGACCCATTCAGCGGCGTTAAACGCAGAATGACGGAAACCGGGGGAATAAATTCAGATTTTCAGTAGCCTCGTATCGGGGGGTGAGTAACGCCGGTAATTACACAGAGGGCCAGTTGGTCATCCGAATAGTCAGTTCGATAATTGGCCACGTAGATACGATCGGTTAACTGATTTATCGGGTCTGCTTGGAAATTATGGACGCCCGGCAGGGTCTGGCCCGATCGGCGCGAACGGCCGATTAATTAATTAATAAGTCGATTGTCCTAACCATTTGTTCCCTCGATCTCGAGATCGGCGTAACGCGAGACAATCTCGACGCGTCATCGGATTATTCCACGATTATTTCCATTATTCCTCGATCAACGGATCAGTCTATCATGTAATTCCGCGAATGGCCGGTTGATTAATTGATAAGCCGATTATTCTAACCGTTGTTTCTTGGATATGAAGATCGGAGTAAGAACGATTAAAGGACTCGACGACGACGCGTCGTCTGGTTATTCACCGGTTATTTCCATTATTTCTCGAGCAAAGGGCCAATCGATCGTTCGAGTAATTGCAACGATAATTCTCCGGATGGACGTAATCGGTTGATCGATTAGTCGAGTCGTCGCGGGGCATTACCGGTGTCCGATGAGCGCGCTTACCCGAACCGATGTGCTGCAATTATTATAACAAGCTACTCGGTTAGTCGGCAATAGGAGTAATTGTTAAGGCAATCAGTCGAGTAGTCGCGCGTGCGACTAATCGAACGAGGCTCGGTTGTATGCGCGCCTGCATCCTTGCACCGCAGCTCTCGTTGCAGCGCGCCACCTCATCGAGAAATTGCATTGCGGTGATTAAGCCGACTCCTTTGATCGAGAGGGTATACCTGGCACTCGTAGAGGCCGGCGTCCTCCTGCTTAACTCCTAGAATCACGAGAGCCCAGTTCGAGGTGGACGGTTCTATCCTGAACCGCTTGTTAACGGAGTGGGTGTCGGTCCCGACAGTCAGGAGCTGCCTACCTCGGCGCTTCACCCACGTCACCTGTAAAAGAATCCGTAGATTTACTTAAATCCCGATTTTATATCCCAGCCGGAAACGAGCCAGCCACCGAGGGCCGAATCCGGCCCAGGGAGCCGTAACGACGGGAATTCCGGAATTTTGATTAATGGCTTAGGAACAAATGACAAGGATGCATGCGCCTACGTGGAGGTCGCCAAATTGCCGGCTCGGAAAAGTGAATTAGCGAAATTAAGGGAAGCCCGAGGTGGAACGGCGGCAGGGGGCGTCGAAACCATTAGCGGGAAAAGTTGGGATGCGGATGGCAATCGGCTGCCGACTGTAACGCGGTGGGTTTCATATTTTTAATTAAACTTCCAATTTAAGTTTCGGCAGCCGCGCTTCTTTCCAGTTAATGGCTGTCCGTAGCACGTGAGGATAACAGCCCGCCGTGGGAAAGCCTTTCTGAATAGTGGGGGAATAATTAGGGCATTTACGGGGACCCCCTCAGATTTTCCGGATTTCCTGGGTATCGATTAGTGCCCTCGTTAAAACCGGCCTAATTTTTCCGACGGTTTATCGTGTCTGGGATAGGCGCCAAGGGGGACCGCGAAAGATGGCGACGCTTTCCTCCGTGTGGGAGACGATCCAAGTTCCCGGAGGGACCTCCGGGACTTCCACCTCGGAACTAAGAAACCTATTTAGAGCGAGTTGGTACCGGAAATCTCGGGGTATCGCTGACGGATGGCGAATTACTCGTAAAATACGAAAATCCTCTCGGTACGCTGAAAATCTTCCCCCAAAGAGATGCCTTCTCCTCCCTCGACGACTGAAATCCTCGAAACGCCGAGCCAATTAGCTCGTTTCGAAAGGAGTCCCATGGAGGTCGGTCTAGGCAGGAAATTATTCATCGGCAACACGAGGAGCGACAAAGCGAGCTCGGAGGTCGGTTATTACGGCCTCGGAGAGGAGGAAACGGCAGACCACGCGACCTGGGCTAATTACGCACCTCGCCATCTTGGAGCCCATCGATTGCCGGGGAACTCGGTTTTTGTTCCTCACGGGTAGAGTCAGAGATAACGCCGATAGCCTGTAAATCTCTTTGGATCTCGACTAAGGTACGACCAAGGGTGGAGGTGAGATCATGGGTGGTGCTGGATAGAGTGGGATGGGGATGCTGGACGAGGACAGGGTGGTCGATCCTTCTTCGGCAGGATTTCCTTGGTATGTAAAACCTCGTTACGAGAGAGGTGGGTAGGACGTAGGTGGAGGTAATTAGGATGTTCCGGTTAATATACGGTAGGGGGTGTAAGGCCCAAGGAGCCAATTTCCGGAGATGTACCGACCGACCGGGGACGCGTCTTCGTAATCCGGGATGTCCTTAATCCTCGCCTCGAGGAGGTCGCGTCTTGGGGCTCCGGTATGAGCGAAATTTCGTCTTAGGGTCATACGGCGCATTTGCAAAACGCGATTTGCAAATGGGAACTTGCAGTCTTGGAGTTGGTCTTGCATACTTGGCTCTTGGTCTTGCGGAGATACCGATTTTCCTCGTCCATGGGGTTTTGGTGTTGCTAGAAGGTGAAACTAAGAACGTGGACCTCCGCGTGCAGGGCATGGGGTTCCACCCTCTCTGGTCCTCTTCTCTGAGACTCGCCCTTTGATCCGATCTCGAGGACTTCTAGACTAGGCTACTTTGCCGAGGTGCTAACTCGAACCAGCTGCAAGTTGGCGGACTTGAGTGCAGTTTCCTTGCGTGTTGGGTTCCTCACTTTGCCGAATGCAACCTAACTTCGTTGCCAGACACCTCGCAGACTTGGGACGCAACTCGCGGCACCACTCGGACGATCGGAAGACGAGCACCTGGCCTGGAACTCCATCTCTAACAATTCCTCCGGGCCATTTTCCTACCGGAACCAGCCTCCCCATCCGTCTCCATCCCGCGCCCCGACACCGCTTCTAGGTGTCGGGGTGCGAAACTTGGCGCGCATTCTTCCTCGCGACCCGCGACTACCCTATCTCTCCGATCTTTCCGGGACGTCGGGACCCGGGAACAACTTTTTGGGATCTCTCTGGGAGAGGAAGCTGGAAGTCTAGCTTCTTGCGACCTTCCCGTAGTCCTTGTCTCCCTCCTCTCGGGGTGTACGATCCTTGCGACACGCGCAAGAAATTACGCTTCACCCCCGATGATCGACCCGACATTTCGATCCACCCTCATTTTGACGATTCAGCTAAAGAAGTACTCCCTCGGTAAAGAGATAGATTTTTTTTATTTCCATCGAGAAAATTTAGAAATATTTAGGACATTCTGAGAGACATGCAGATTTTAGGCAGAATGGAAACCGATAAATGTAATAAATGGAGGAAAATAATGGACGGAATAATTTGAAGAAGATATGGGAAAGTGGATGGTTGGAAGTCCATTTTCATGCACCCCTCCCGATTAGGTCCATTTCGGAGTCTCGACGTGCTCGATCCCTGAGCAAGAAATTACGCTTCATCCCTAATGATCGACCCGGCACCCCGCTTCCATTAGAAGTAGCATTAGTTAACAACATTGCTTCCCGACTCTCCCGGGGGAGGCTATTATAGGGATCCTATCCCGACTCTGAAGAGATCGCGGAGCGCCCCAGGGATTACGAAAGTACGCGCGAGTCGCTCGCTGAAACGCGTTCGCCATCTTGCACCCTCCAAAGCATAGATCCGATCGGGTGTCACCCCTCTTCGCTATTAGCTCTCCTCCACCTTTCTTTCTCCCCCGAAGTCTTCCCCTCTCGAAAGGAAATCCTCGATTTTGCAGCGCGATTCCCGCGGGGTGCATTATGTCTCGGGTGGCTGCCCCTTCTGATATCTTATCGAAATCTTAACAAACCCCCGTTATCAGAGTCCGCCATTTTGGTCAGGAAAGCGACCCTCGATTTACCGTATCCGCTCGACCATCGACTCTCTTTCTGGCTCACCCCGAGCTAACGAATTTCCAGCGTCCTTTAATCCCGCTCACGGCCACCCCCGGGGATGAAGAGGACGCCATTTTGGGCGAGATATCCCTCCTCCTCCCTCGAGTAATTACCCAACTTCCGTTTCGCTTCCGCAAAATTACCCTGTCGATTGTCGACCCTCGATCCGCCCCCGCGACCTCTGATATCCGCTCGCGATGTGCGCGCTTCGAGTTTCCCGAAAAAAATATGATAAAAATAAAAGGATAAAAATATCAAGCAAACAAAGCACGTTCGGTCGAAATAAAATTCCTTATCGCGCTAAACCAGCTGTAATAAAAGAGGGAAGTGCGGTTTGATAATGTATTTTATTGATACCATTCAAAGAAATATCTCGTTCGACGATTTTTTTTTTTTTTTCTTTCCACGGTATCATGAGCGTAATTTGGGTAATGCAGAGCTACGCCATCCCAGGGGCCGAAGAATGGAAGGAATGTATTGATCGTTCTGCGAAATGATTACTTAAAATTGTCAGTGCTTCGTGAAATTACCGAGCGTTAAATATCGATGCAGGCAGGGGCCGATTTGTTTCGGGTGGAACATTAAAAAGTACAATGAGTACGGCGAGTGCTCGGTGTTCCGAATTCGAGTTTTCTGAATATCGGGCCGGTAACCACTGCCGTGACATATGTGCCACTTCGGGGAATAAATAAACCATCCCGGGAAATATCGGCCGAGGGAGCGATTCGATTCCACAATTGCCTCGGAAATAATTTGGCCGTAGTAATGCGTGTTATATTCCGTTTGACGACGCGCCTCGGTAACGCGAGTGTCACCGGCCGACAGGCGATATGTCAGTCATTGTTTTCACAGACATTGCATCAAACTGGCCGACCGTGCAGTAACATTAACCTATAGGTAAAATCTGCCCCCGTGGCGTACGTGTTGAAACAATTGGACGGAGGGAGGAATTTTGACCTCGCGATTTATTCGGATTAACTTTCTTTCCGGTCACGAGGCAACAAGAAATTCCATGGGCTGGTCTCCGTGGGCTTTAATGAGGATCCAAATAGATAGAATTAAGGCTTATCAAAGAAGAGCCACACATCCGGCATTTCCTCTTAAGAGAATCTAGCCGCAGTTTTGGGATCCCCTTCAAAGTCGCCGCCAACCAGGAATTGGCACCAGATTTAAGTACTTTAATGCAGGAATTGAATAAGGTGGTATTAACGACCTCCTTAAAATGGAATTAATTAAACAACGTCTAGTAAGCATGAAATTGAAAATGTTAACGGAAGCCCCAGAATTTCGGATAAAGCGTTACAATTAGCGGGATGGAAGTCGATGCAAGATCGTCGGTAAGTGTCTTGGGAGGGAAGATCATACGCACCTAGTCGAGTCTACCTTGGTACAGGACAATTGATTTTCATTTTCAAAGTCCTGCGACTTTGAAAATAAATTTTTCTTGGTGACGAGGCAACGAGTGATTGGTCTTGGACTTTAATGGCCGAGGGATCGAGATAGGTCGATGGCCAGCAAATTAAGGCTTATCGGAGGAGCGGATTCCAGCAGTCAGTATTTCCTTTCGAGAGAATCTAGCTGGAGTTCTGGTATCCCCTTCAGGGTCGTCGCCAGCCACGAAGTGGCACCAGACTTACTTCATTGGACCAATTGAATAAGAGTGGTCCCGGCTTTGCAGCCGCGGTAGAGGAGCATCCTCGAAATTGAAGCCGGCCACGAAGGAGATTGCTTCTCCCGTACCCATCCTGGATCCCTAACCGGAGTTTCTTCGGTTAAAACCACCCAACCACGGGCTGGAAGCCGTCTTTCTCCGGAAGCCGGAAGACTGGCCGGATCTCGATCCTGGTCGAAAGTTTCCGACCCGAGGGTTTCTAAAGGAACCCGTTAAAAAGTTAACGGGCTAAAACAAATGGCAGCTCCTCGGACCGGAAAGCTCTCGAGGTCCTACGAGAATGATGCCTCGATGACGAATAATCTTCGTCCTGTGTCCGATAATACGTTTTGGGTCTGAGATAAATGTGACATGATACATTACGGCACACCATGCCCACGCTTCGCCCATGTTTATTTTGCCTTAGTTTGTCAAAATCA